GATCAGTCGCCGGCTTCTGGACGGCCACTCACTGCGGCTGCTGGCCGCTCACGCTGGCTGCTGGCTACACACGGTAGCCCATGGCAACCCACTGCAGTAGTGGCTGCAGCCTACACCATTGCTGGCGACTCATGGCAGCCCAGCTCCAGGTTGACTTGTTCAGCATCTTAGCTGTAGAGGGCAGTGTCACTGGCCCTCATACATGGGATCCGAACCGGCGCCCTCTGGCATCCCAAGCCAGCTCTTAACCAACGCGCCACTCGGCCGGCCCAAGATCACATTCTTAAACTTATTTTTGCTATTTATAATTTTGCAAACATTTGTCCATGTCATTATATATTCTTGTACAACTTCTTAAATTGCTGCATATTATTCTATTATAGGCATACTTTCTAAAAGCAAGCCCCATGTTACTGAATGAAGTTTGTGGTGTAGGAGTTAAGTGTATGCTTTGGATTAGGTAACAGTTTGAATAGCAGCTCCACTACTAATTTGTTATAGAGCTTAGGAACTTAGTCTCCCTGAAGCTCAGTTTCTTCATCTATAAAGTGAAATAATAGTGCTTAACTCATAAGATTGGGTCAAAGAGGATGCAGAATCCCAGGCTTTGCACACAGGTGGTACAGTTGGCAGTGTGCAAGAGTGCTTGTTTTCTCACACTGTCACCAATATTATCCAGGCTGACAATGCACTACCTCGTTTGTTTTAGTTTTCTTACATAAACCAAACCGCCTCCATTACTACAGTTAGAAGCTTTGTTATGTTTTAATTAAGATAAGAATATGCAGGATGTGTTTTCATACTGAAAAGTAAAACAAAATCTGATTTTTAAAAATTCTATTTTTTAAGATATTTATTCATTATAACTTCATAATGACAAAAGCTTAATCCTTACTGCTCATTGTTAGAAGATATTAGATTATACTTGGTGCCTCAGTATCTTCTTTCATAATATTCTGTAATGAACGGCTGCTCTGAAAACCTGCCTGGGTAACCTGAAGGGGGTACGAGTAACCCATGCAGAAATAACCTACCTACTCGGTAACCGAGGCTTTTCCACTCAGTCGTTTTCTCTGTCCTCCTCTAAGCCAGAGTGATGACACTTAAGGAGAAGCTGTGTCATAGGAGGGAAAGTAACACCCACTGGAGAGTCCAGCATGTGAGAGAATTTGGAAAAGCCTGAGTTCAAGAATTCTGAGCGGTCTACTACGTAAAAGACGCTTAGACAAACTAGGTAAGCCTATTATTAGAGACATTTAAAAACTAAAATGAGATTTTCAAAATTCTGTTTTATTGCAAAATCTTTTGGTAAAATAGTATTCTTGCCACAATAACAACATAGTAATACCTTAAAAGAAAGGCAGACTTAATCAGTTAAAATTATATTTGGCATAGGGTCAAGAAAGTACTACTGCTAACCAAACTGAAATATTATCTCATTTTCTGTGTTATCATTTTCAACAGATAAACTCACCCTATTAGAGGAAGTCCAGACTGACATGAAGGTAAAAATATTTGATACAGTCCATTAGAGCTCAATCTGAATTTTATCAAAGGAAACTGTAGTACATTTTTAAAGGCCTGTCTCAATTTTTAATTAGTTTCTTGTTAAAATGAACTTTCTCTTAGTTTACTGGAGTGGGGGAGGGCCGCCTTAGACGTTGACCAGCCCCCCCCACCACCCCCACCCCCGTCAAGGACAAACCAGGGACCTTGTGTCTCCAGATTAGGGGAAATAGTTAAGAAGGAGAGGAAAAGAAAATTGCTTTTCCAGCTTCTCTAACTTCCCATGTAACCTGCAGAGAAAAGCAAGCATCCCTTGGGAGGAAATAACAAAAGTGCCAAACAGTAGATGGATGGATGAAGCTTGCATCCCTGCAGTGTAGTGGGGCTCTTGCCTTTACAATGTCACGTAAACTCCTGTCCCTTGCTCACAGTGGTTAACAGATTGCCGAGTGGACATTTATTACCAACTGGCCCTGCCCTCCTGGAGGCCTCTACCCTTGAAGCTGCTCCTTCGCTCAGTTCCTTTTCCTGCCAGAAATATCAAAGTCAGAGAAGGGGGTCTGAAAGTTCAGTTGCCTGTTTCCTTTTCCTACTGTACACAAGGTAGCTGGTTAGACCACAAGTTGCGTCCATAAGAAACCTTAAGAGATAACTCATTGTAACCCATGTCAGGTAATAAGAGACAAACAAGCCTCTTCTTACAAAACAACTCACCACTGTATTATCTCTAAGGTACTCCCACCTCAGCCACCCCTCCCCCGTAAAATAAACATTCAAAGTTTCTGTGGTTCAGTATCTTTTCTTTGAGCATAGATGGGATTTCTAATACAGGTTTGCCTTATCACGTACTCTGTTTTGTCAGACTTTTGATTCCTAAGATACTTTATGACCTCACTGCACCGCCATTCCCCTTTGTCAACAATAACCTCAACAGGCATGGCAAATATTGGTGGTGTATCTCTTTTTTTTTTTTTTTTTTTTTAGCTGAGCCATCCTGTCACCTGTTGGCAGCTCAGCAACAACTCAGCTCAGGCCGGGAATTGAACCCCTGTTGCTCAGAGTTCAAACTCTTAAGCGAGCTCTTAACCAACTGAGCCACTCGGCCGGCCTTTGGTGGTGTACCTCTTAACTGTCTTCTCAGTAAGAATTAGAGTCTGAGTTGATGAACAGAATTTTTAAAAGAGGGTATCAGATTGTCTGAAATTCTATACTAAGCTAATGTTTTGACATCATGTGGTCCCAGCCTCAGAAATTGTAATATAAACAAAAAGGGCATTTCCAAATGCAAACTGGAGAAGATATTTAGTGCTAACACATCACACCCCAGTGAGGGAAAATCCCTGGGATCCCAGTGAGCACACTGTCAGACCCTTTGTCCTGTCTTCTAGTAATCTGACTTTGTACCAATTTCATCCATTGTGATAAAAGTGTCCACCACACAAATGTGATTAGGCACCTCTTTAACTTTTCTTCATTGAAGCAGGTACATAAATTGAATCTCTGCAAAGATTTCCCTCATGGGGAGGAGATACATCCCTTTGTATTAGGCCAGCTAGTCACACACTTCCCATGCGTCTTTTTGACCCCACCTTACTCCTCTGCTTGTCCATAATTATTGGGGAATGTTACATAACTGAAAAGGCATGGATTTTGAGTTGGAAGAAGCAATTATGCAGCTCGTAGCCAAAGGACTTTGGGCAACTCTCTGTTTTCCTGAGCCTATTTCCATGGCTAATATGAGACTGAGATACATCTAATAATGTGTGTGAAAGTACTTTAATGTATAAAGTGCTATGTAAAGTAGTAGTTACTATATTTCTTGAACTTGTTCCCATCACCACTCTTTGCACACAGAAATCTGCATCAGTACCCATCCTTGCTTCTCAGAGCAAACTGTCCCTTCTCAGAAGCACATGTCTCAGTAGTATAGTTTCTAAGTCCCTCTAAAAGAGGGTCCCTCTCTGTCCAAGGCAAAGTCCTCCACTGGTGCTTATCATTCCTATTCCAGACTCCTTCGGAATCTTCCTCTCTTCTCCGTATCTCATCCCCTTTCTCTGATGGCTTTACTCTTTCCTCGGTGGATTTCATACTCTCAACATAGAAACACAGTATCTTCTTCCCATTACTTTGACATTCAGTGTTCTTAAAACACTAGTCTACTTCACATCCCAGTCTTTTCTAAACACTGCTCCCTCTACTCCACTGAAATTGCTTTTAATGTAACCAGTGAAATCTTAATTATCAAAATTAGTGGGCTCTCTTAGTTTCATTCCAGTATAATTTCTATGTAGCATTTAACATTATTAACCACTTCCTTCTTGAAACTCTTTCTTAGCCTTTTCTGACATCACTTTCACTTAATTATTTTTACCTTTTTTTTTTTTAAGTTTTTTATTGGGGAATTGGGGAAGGGGGAACAGCCAAGTTGTTGTCCTTCAATCTTCGTTGCGGCGGGCGCAGCTAGCTCAGCTCCAAGTACAGTCGCACCGCTCAGCTCAAGGCGCTGTGTTCAATTAGTTGCGGGTGGGCGTAGCCCACCATCTCATGCAGGAGTCGAACCAGAAACCTTGTTGCTAAGAGCGCACGCTCTAACCACTGAGCCATCCTGCTGCCCATTGGCAGCTCAGCTTGGGCGCAGCTCACTGGCCCATGTGGGAATCAAACTGGTGACCCTGTTGCTCAGGGCTCCCGCTCTTAACCAACTGAGCCACTCGGCCAGCCCTTTTCTACCTTTTTGTCCACTCTTCATTCTTTTCTCGAGACATCTACGAGAGGCTTAGGGAATTTTAGCTTGTAATATTAAATAAATTCTCCCCCCCCCCGGCTATTGGAAGCATCTCAAAGATCTCTGTGTGCCAGGCTAATTTCATAATGTGATAATGATTTTGTAGTTGGGATAACTACATAATAAAAATTGGATCAAGACTATTTACCGTAGGCTTCTGAAGTATCACGAGATATAGATAATTTTTAGTAACAGCTAGTAACATGAGCTCAGTACAAGCCTCATCTAAAGGTATAAAACGCCAGTAGCAATAACAACAACAAAAGCCCATTACTAAATGTGTCCTTAATGCTAGTTGTGTAATTGTAAAGTACCAGGGTCATTTGAGCATCTTATCCTCATCCAGTACTATGTAGCCACAAGGATTGTTTTCCTTCTTCTTTAAGGCAGGTGCCAGGTGGTAGGAAGAGCTCCTCACTCATTTCTACTCACCCGTAAGGCCTTTCTCCTTGCAGACAGGGCTGGTATCTTAGTCATTTGTGTTCTTTCTGCCAAGCAGACCGTCAGTTGGCATGTAAGCTCACAGTGAATACTTACTGAGTTGAACTATTGGGTTGTTGGAAAAGTCATGACATATTTTTTCTATGTTTTTCATTGCAAAAATGCATCATGGCTTTTCCAACAACCCAATAGTTTGGGTGGAATAGAGTAAACCAAATTAAACAGGAATGGGAGCTTCTTTGGAAAGCAGTTTGAAAGTTCCTCAAACAGTTAAACATAGAGTTACCATATGTCTTAACAATTTCACTTGTAGGTATGTACCTGAGGGAATTGGAAACATATTCATGCAAAAACTTGTACACAGTGTTCATAGCAATATTATTCATAATAGTCTAAAAGTGGAAACAACCCAGATGTCCACCAACTAATGAATGGATAAATAAAATGTGGCATATGTGTATATATGTATATGTGTGTGGGTGTGTGTGTGTGTGTGCGTGCGTGTGTGTGTGTGTACATATACCTACACAATGGAACATTATTCAGCCATAAAAAGGAGTGAAGTACTAAGTGCCAAAAAAATATATATGCATTTTAAGAAGAAAAAACTGTATTAAAATTACACTGATGGTAACCAGTTTGAGTACCTCTTGTAATTTCAGAAGTCAAACATGACTTATACTAATATTCATCTTTTGTTATTGGTATGTATTATTACAATTTTAATACGTTTTTTTCCTTTCTTAAATGTGTATACTTTTTTTTTTGGCACCCTCTGTATATACTACAACATGGATGAACTTAGAAAACATGCTGAGTGAAAGAAACGGTGACAAAAGGCTACATATTGTATTATTCTATTTATAGGAAGTATCTAGAATAGACAAATCCATAGAGACAGAATGTTATCTGTGGTTGCCTAGGGATGGGAAGGGAGAGCTGAGCAGGTGATAACTAGCAGCAAAATTTATTTTGGGGTGCTGAAAAGATTCTAAAATTGATTGATGTTTGCACAACTCTGAATATTAAAAAAAAACATAATTGTACACCTAAATGGATTTTATATGTGAATTATAAATTTAAATTATAAAACTTTTTTAAATGCTAAAAAATTAAGGAAACCATATATAATTCGAGATTAAAAGTTTGATTAATATGGAAGAAACTCTTAATAAAATTGCTCATTTATTTTTTAAAGGAGAAGCCATGGGAGTTGTGGAATACAATTATTTCAGAGCCCTTTGAACACTGTCTTGGATTCTACTGAGAAGCAGAAACATCTAAAACCATTCTTCTTGCCTCACTCGACTCTTATAAACAGGGGCAGCTTTTTGAAGCGTATTGAAAGACAGGCCAGGTTTTTATTCCTCTGGAGATATGTAGATAGGTAGGTAGATAGATAGATAGATGATTATACTTGTTGGGGAAAAACAAACCAGTACAAAAATTGCTTTCTAGAGATATAATTCAGAAAGAGTTCTTTTTTGTGGAATATTGGAATTGAAATTTTTGATAGCCCTTCTATTATAATATTTTTGACAACTACAGCAATTGATTTAGTCTTCTCTTGTCTTTTACTGTGGTTGGGGAAACATCTTTTTTCTAAGGTCAGTGATTTGATTATTTCTAGGTGGGATTTTTTTTTTCATAACGCATTCAAACATGTCTGTTCAGGGGTGAAGCTCTCTGATCCTGTAGGAGGAAATACTGCTCTGATAATTTAGAAAATAGAAACATAATGTGAAGCAAGTATGTAAATTTAGAATTTTCTAGTGCCTGCGTTAAAAAAGTTAAAAAAAAAACAGGAAATTCATTTTATAATATATTTTATTTAACTCAGTATATCCAAAATATTTTAACATATAATTAACATAAAATTATTGAGATATTTTATATTCTTTTCTTTCATTCTAACTCTTTGAGATCCAATGTGTATTTTACACTTAACAGCAGGCCTTAATTCATACCAGCCACATTTAAAGTGCTCAGTAGCAACATGTGGATAGTAGCTACAAATTGGACACTGTAGATTTAGAATGAACAAAATCTTAAGTCTGACTGTAGGAAGGGGATGAGCCGTCAGAGGAAGCCAAGTAAATGGCTGTTTTATTAAATAGAGGAAGATTGTCTCATGAAGAAACAAAAACTTTCCCATGTGAGATTATAATCTAAAGTAGGACTTCTTGCATTTCCTTTGATTAATCTCTAGTTATAGACGTAGTTCAATGAACAATAAAATTAATCGCTCTAGTGAGTAAAAATACATAGTAGTTAGGAGTATTTTAGGTACTTTCTTCTGGATGAGACTTCTGAAAGAAAATGACCAGATATCTGTAACTTTATTAACTGAAAGTATCAGAGGGTTTGTAAATTGTGCTTGGACATTTCATAACTCCACTATTCAAAAACATTTTCCAGCCTATATTATATAGCATAACTATTACATATGAGGCCATTATAATAATATTTTCTTCACTTATCTGTGTACCTATATAGTAAACTTTAATTGCTGGAGTTAAAAAAACCTTTGAATTATGGAGCTATTCTACGAAAGCCTCTAAACTGAGACCTCATTTGGAAAAAAATCGGTACAGGGGAGAGTTTTTTCCTACTCCCTCTTTCAATGCCCCTACTTCCCCTGTCAAGAAATAGTACATCGAATAGCCTATTTGACTAAGAGTACCTTTTTTATTTAAAATAATATTTACATTGGGAACT